CTGCCTGAGACTATGGAGGACAGCAGAAAGTGCAGATGCACTTCAGGAAGAGACGGAGGGATGGCTGAAATCGTGCAGGCTCCGATAAAGTCTGTGATTACCCACGCATTACAGTACGAGGCCGCGCAAGCTTACATGGGCTGGGACAGGGAAATCGCAAAGCTCGTGCTTTCTGAACCCGGCTTCCATAGCTATCTTTCATCGGAGAAAGGGCTGGTACCGCTTCTTCGTATGCAAAAGGTCCAGCTTTATGACGTTCATTCAATTCTTACTCTGGCGAAACAAAGCTATTGTTTTGCCCTGCCAGTAGGCCACAAAGTTTCCGCCAAACCTCGCTTCGCAAATCGACTTCGAGCTTTCAATTTCATCAGTTTCCTGAAAGACCCAACTCGTCTTACTCTTCACTTCTGAAACCGTAAGGTTTCTTCTCCTTTGCTCAAGGCACAAAGGACAAGCCGCCGTCACGGGTTCATGTGCTTGACATTCTTTCCTGAACAGAACTTCCCGCGTTTGCCAGGCTTTGAAACGGCCAGAGTGCTAGGCAGAGTAGTAGGTACTTGTAATCAGTCGGCAGGCACTGTAGCCGTCTCAATACTTTGCGTGGCTCACAGAACGCCATTCCGACGGAGATCAAAGCTCAGTCATGGCGAGGGTGACCAGGAAAGTGTGTACTCAGAACGTGTCAGCAACAAGGCTCTAGACAGCACCAGCTGCTCAGAGGCTGCGGCGAGGCCACAGGTCGGGCAGCTGCTGCTGCAGCTGCAGCGGGCCGGGCAACCGCAGGTTCCGCAGGAGGGAAGAGCGGGACATGTCGGGGGGGCCTAGGGACCAGTGAGAGCGCCAGGCCGGCAAATCTCGCTTCCAGTGGATTCCGTAGCCAAGCTGGGCAAAGCACCTCCAATGCAGCCAGTAACTTTGATGTTTGAACAACAAGATTCCATGCCTGCGGATGCCTGCTAAGGTGGCTGAGAACAACAAGATGCTCGACTGACGGGTGCAAATGTGCCGGATTTTCCTCAAGAGGTCAAGATGTGGTGAGGTCTAGTCGGGATGAAAACAGGAGCCCATCCCAAGTTGACACTATTCTCCATATACAAATCGTGCTTTTGCGATGATATCCAATCCAGCCAACAAAAAGCCAGACTAAAACAACACTGCCTGACGGCTGTCTGCACACCACCAGGCACCCACCGCACACAGCACCTTTTGGAAGACTCCTTGTTGACAAAAATGATGCCAGCTGGCAAGGCGGAACCTGACTGTTTGCTTGCAATGGCATTTTTTGTTCACGAGGACTTCCGAGCCTGTCGGCCTAGAACCCTCAGTCCGAACCAGGCTATTCCGACAATGCTGAACAGGTTGCGCTGCTGAGGGAGACCGTCGAGACCAAGGCGATAGCTAGTTAGCAGGTTAGAGCAGAGTTGGAAAGAAGGCAAGTCGTCGCCAAGCCCTCTGCCTCAGCAGGCCGTTTACAGTCCGAGCAGATTGCAGAACTGCTACTGCTCGTTTTTGACTGCTCTCCTTCGCTTAGTCTTCTAGGAGCCTAGACTCGTTACCCAGCAAATGTACTTGCGACATTGCACGCTATTCGAGTGGAAAAGCGATGCCATGCTACATTGAGGATGTATTTTGGAAGAAGTGGCGGGGTCTCATGGCCTCAGCTGTGGAAAATGCGGTTCGCGGCTGCTGGAGTGACGTTATTGTTCTTTGTATTGGTCCATGACCTGCAAGGGACGAGCCAAGCAGCAGAAGTCCTTACTCAACTTCGCCTTCTTCTCAGTGGAGGCTTGTACAGCGCCTGCCGTCTAGGGCAGACTAGGGCCTATTTTGCTTGATGGAGCAACCTGCATGGGTCTCGGCCAGGATAGTGAGAGAGCACCTCGGCGTTTGGAGTCGCTGCAGGAAGTGTCTGGCAACTCAGACTTCACTGGCAAGCTGACCTTGCGAAGAGCATGGGGCTGGCAGAACGAAAGATGTGAGAGCAATGTTTGCTGATGACGATGTGCCTTGTCGAGAGCTTGCGTAGACGACATAGACGTAGACGTCTTGCAGGGGGTGTTCTTGACAAGGTATGGTCCTGGCCTTTGAAGGTGGCGTCTTCTTGTGGCCAGGCCAGCTTGGCAAGACGTGATAGCCTTTGAGCTGTGAAGCATCAGGGCGTCTTGGAAGCACGGTCAGCTTCTGAAGTTCTGCCACAAGAGAGACCTAAGACGGTGCGGCGACAGCACGCTCACAGGAGTGAAGACGGGCTTCCGCCGCAACGTGACCATCCAGCCATGGGCTCACTTAGGAAGTTTGGATCCTTGCAACTTGCGAAGAACTCAGGCCAAAGAACTCTGATCCGTTGAGCCTCCAGATCGAGACCCGTGACCTGGCAGTTGGAATGACAGTAGCAAGACATCAAAAGAAGGCAAGCGACTTGCAGCCTTATGCTGCTTTGGAAGGATTATACTCAGGAAGCCTACAACCGCTCGTGCTTGAAATCTCTTCTTTCCTGCACGACGCGGACTGCCAACATGTTATCAGCAAGGCGGTCGCAATTCTTTGGGCTGCAGGTAAGAATAGGCAGGATCAAGCCGTTCACGTCCGGTTAGGCGCTGCCCCACGTGCAGAGATCCTCTGTAAAGCACATGGACCATGACTCTGGACAGCAACGTCTTGATGAGTAGCGAATGTAGCGACAGGGTTTTCGCTGATCTGTTGGCACTACACACGATGGGATCATTAGCTTTGTACCACCCTTGTTGCGGCTGCAGCCGCTGAGGATGTTGGCAAGCCAGATGCAAACTGGAGAACCAGCAGCACGTACTTCATGAGATCGGATGCTACTTGGTCAGGATGCAAAGGTTATTGTGACTTGCATGCTGCCCTTACCCGTAGCCTTCCCTGCCTATGACAGCTGCTGTAGCAGAAAAGTGTTTGCTCAATCCAGACAGCTGCGCAAAGGACGAGGTCCTACGACGCTTGGACGATCGCGTTAGCGCCCTCACGTTGATCAAGAAGACACATCAGGAGTGGTCGCCGCGAGAGCTCAAGCAATGAATGAGAACACCGAAGACAAGACTACCCGGTGACAGGGTGGTGCATAGCCATCCCGATTTTGTTGGGCTTGCGTGTCACCTTAAGATCTATATATATGTATATTTACATGTATGTATTTGTATCTACTATATATTTAGCATACTCTTTCGGACGACGGTGTTGGGGCGCATGAACTTGGTTTTGCACAGCATGAGCTCATTCGGCCTGTCCTTCCGGCTTTGCATAGTTTTAACGGTTGACTCCATGCGTCTCCATCATAAGCTGTCTTGCAAGCCCCAAAAAAGACTGTCGGGCCTTGAGTTGTGCTTCAGGAGCATGCCCAGATCCTGCGCTATGAGAACCATGGCTGCCCTTAGCATCACCTTGGTAATGACAGCATGACAGCACCTGAGACAAGTCTTCTTTCATTTGTTTGCGGCCCAGGGAGGGGGAGCAGTATGTTGTGGCCTGGCTGAATGCTGGTCAGCTGGGCTGCTGCTTTACCGTAGCGCTGGTTATTGTTTCCATCCTGCGAAGGTTGCTAGACAGCCAGTCCTCCACGATAGCTTGGCACAGCTGTTTAAAGTAGATGTGCCAAGTTGTATTGAGGCACATCACGACTACTTCGACCCTGCCATGTACAGGACGAACAAGGAGATACAGAACATGATCAAAAAAGGCCTTTACAACCGCACCTCTGCTGCCCTGTGTCTCATCGATTCGCAGGAGCACATGCTGCATGTTCAGTCACAGCCGTTGTGGTTTTTGTTGCCCAGGATTAGCAACTGTGTTCTTCTATTTATCCGATGTAGAGGAAGGCTCCTTGGATTGTTGGCAGGTGGTCCGTTGGAGTCCTTGCTCAGCAGCGTACTGACTTCTGTGATGCAAGTCCTCTCACTTAACTCAACTTTACTTAGGATGCTTCGATGTCAGTGCCCCTTTTACACACTACACCTTTTTGTGAGTGTGCCGGTCCTCCTCCAGCATCTTCACTCAATGGTCTTGGCAGGTAATTTTGCTGCTGCATAACACTAGGACATACTAGGACTAGACGCATGTCATCTTCCTGCCTGGAATCCTTTGCTCCTGCAGCCATCCAGCGCCCTTACTCCTGAAGCCGCTGGAAAAGCAAGGTGGGGAGACGAACTTCCCTCGTGCTGGCGGGCTTCCACAGCCACATGACTTCGCGGACTGCTCCAACGGCGTGTCTGTCTTTCCCAGGCTCGGCAAATGGTCCCCGAAGTGTGAGGGGATTCTTCGAGTGCGCGAGCCCACTGCTGATTGATGTGCGCAACTCCGCTGATGAGGCGCGGACGCATCATGATCTTCTATTCTATGCACCCATCCGCAGAAATGGACGAGGCTAGTGCTTGTCCCAGACACTTCCTGTGTCAGGTTGGCTTTGATTCCATATCTCGGAATATCAGCTTGCACCTTGTTTGTGCCACGTTTTCCGGCCACACGATTTGTTGCCAACATTGCTCAGACCTCCCTTCATGGCGGCTGTGCCGTGAAGCGTGGCACAAAGTGGTCAGCCAACAAGTGGCTCCTTGGAGATGTTAAGGTCTCAAACCTCGCAGCCTCAAGCCACAAAGTGTGTTGACAGAAAAACAATTGACTGGACAATTGAGCAGTGTATGCAGTATAGCATTTCAACTATCATGAGATGTGACCTCCGCTTCATCAGGATCTGGAATAAGCCGATGGACTACACCGACGAGTGAGAGCCTTCCCGGACGGTAGCCTTTCCTCAAGATCCTGCGCTGCAAGCGGGTAGCAGGTAAAGGGCTTGAATTTGCAGTCGACCGACGCGGAAGTTCGAGGATGACGGAGGCGGCAAGGATCGGTCAGGCATGGAGCCGGCTCCGCGGAAAAAAGGTCCCCGACCTTCAGGAAGGAAAGCTTTTAGATGCTCAGACAAAAGGCAACCAGGCAGGCAGGGCACGATGACCAGCTGTGCAGTTTGGTCTGCCAGTCAGGTGCCAGCTCTGCCCCCGCTGCCCGCAAGCTGCAGCCACTCCATCCTGAAGGCGTGGGTCTCCACTCTTTGACTTCCAGACAAAACAGGTTGCCCAAGGAAGGGGCAGCGAAAATGGCCCTTGGTAAATGATATTGGCCCTATATTTGAGGCCATTTTTTAATGCTTTGTTTGGGCTTCTGTTTCTCCCCGAGAACAGCAACCGCAGCCTAGCCCGGCAACCTGGATCACGAGCAGCTTGACCAGCTCGATCGGAGGCTTTTGCCGATGGCTACTGCAACACTGATGCTGTTGCGCGTCATCCTCAGCCCCAAGAGAAGCCATGCACGGCAATGAATGTCGCAACCTTGCTAGCACTAGCCATGGAAGCAACAGCACAAATGGATGTTAGTGATAGCAGCAGAGGGAGCAAAGAGGTTCCGAATCTTGCGTAGTGGGCACAACTCATTTCCTGTTTGCTTCCAAGACATGCTTGGGGTGTGGGCAGGTGGAATTGGAAAACCCAAATTCTGAAGACCCTGCAGTAGGAGGCCGATTTGGTAGCTGCCTGGGAGGCTCAGTTTTGATGCAAAAGTCGCATTGCAAGCAGCCGCTCCAACATGTCGGTCCATCTAAAACCTTCAAAGCAGCTTTGAACATGATTGCAATCGTACTTGGGCACGCCATGAAAATCATTGTTCCAGATCTTGCCGTCGTCATCATCATTCAACCTGGCTAAAACTGTTCCTCCTCTCTGTTAAGGTAGTTGAGAATTGAGGCCTCCGCGCGTCCAGGAGCTGCTGGTGAACGCTGAGGTGCTGGCGGGCGCAGCTTGGCAGATCAGCTCTTGAGTGCCTAGGCCACACCTGATTTATGCATACATGTTGCGTTCTAATTAAGGTATGAATTCCCCAGGATATTGATTTGGACAAGAACTGCGCAATGACTCCACGTTGAATCTGTTTGCAGCACTTGAGGCCGGATCGGCTCTTGCCCAGTCTCCTGGCAGCAGGGAGAGACAGCGCGGTCATCAAAAGCTGCTTTGAGTGCGTTGCTGGCAACCTGGTAAGAGGTTGGTCAGCGAGATGCCATGCTTGTCAGGGGCTCAGGAGGTATTGAAACGCAGTTGCTGGGTTGAGTTTGCGTAGCCTTGCAATGGTATTGGACCTTAAGCGTGCAGCACGCCCAAGGCGGTCCTTGCACCTTATGAGCGGTGCAAACTTGAACAGCCCTCAGCGTGCTGCGTGTCCATTTGAACATCAGGACGTTCACGATTAGCATTGATGGCATGAACAACCATACCTCACTGGCCTCAGGTCGAAACCCGAAGGCATGCCCCCAGAGAGCTTTCCAGTCGAGCACCGACATGTTGGACAACAGGCCACAGGGAAAGCAAGATAACAAGCTCTCCGGGACGATCCAGTCTTGGAGAAGCCTGACCTACAAAGCGCATAGAAATGCCTTGGACTGGCTTGCCAGCCGTTGTTCTCATTATAGGCTGAAGACCTTTAGCATTGACCTCTGGTGGCTGACATTCTAGCGCAGGACCTGTCCTTGCTGACGAGAATCGAGCCTGAGACTCAGCAGTCTATCTTGGATGCCTAGTCAAGGGGCAATCAAAGGGATTCATTCCTCATCTTGTTTGCTTCTGTGCCACCTGTGTGCGACACCCTTTTGAGCGATCACACTATCACGCTGCACAGGATCGGAGGTGGCTTCTCCTTTGACTCTTTGAACTTGGCTGCAATGCTGCGGGGCCCCCGGCAAAAGCAGCTATCCTTATCACTTGCTGAAGCAATCACTGTCCCAATTTCCTTGGTGCGAGACTCAATGGGACAAGGGCGCTGCATCCCAATAAAAGCTCAGATCCACATGAAAAGTTTATGATTACTCACATGAAAGTTTATGACCACGACGGGAATCCACTTGATTGAGAGTATCCTTTGTGAAATGCAGAAGCCAGGCTTCCCCCAAACGGTTTGCTTGACCCCATAACTGTGCTAAGCCGGCGGCATGTTTTACAAACCTTGGCATGTCAAATATGTTGTTTGGAGCCTGTGGAAGCAATATACATCCCTGAGGGTTTTAATGGGGCTTGGCATGGAAGAGAAAAAACTGGTCCAAGTCAAAAGGGACTGTACAAGCCCCCCTCAGCGGAGTTTACGTGCGCTCATCTTTCCTTGTTGTCTGCACACTATCTTCAACAGTGTTTTCAGCATACACATGGCACCTCTCATGGTGCATTACATATATTGTAATTGGCACAGACACGCTTTTGGCCTACAGGGTACAAAACTTATCCAGATATGCTGATGAAGTTGGCCTTCATAGGCCCTTATTGGAGATTCCTGGACTTGGTTGACTTAGGCCCATTTTCGTCCATGTTCGTCCTAAACTCATAAACATATTGTCTCCGCGCGCCAGAGCAGAATCCAAGCAGTACATGTGTCGAGACAGGTCCTGTGAAACATGGCTGGCATCGTGCCGTTGTCAGGCGAACGCGAATCCTAACATAGGAGTTGTCAGGCGAATGCAAACCTTTACGTAGGATGGCGGCACCCTTCTTCCCACGATTGAAACGTTGATTCGAGGTAGCATCCATGTGCCCAGGTGCAGCGCTAGCAACTTGCAGGTCTTGGCCAACGTCCCAGCGCACTCCCGATTCACCACTTGGCAAAGTAGCGACACTATCTGATTTCAGGCTCATGCCCAGCCAAGGACCTTGGCGGGTCTGAGTTTAGTGATGCAGATGCCCAGCCTTGCCCTCAGAGCTGTTTCCCTGCGTCCTCAGCGCCATGATTCCATAAGGGAGTAAGTGTTGGTCGATAATGCTTGACTGACAAGTGCTGTTTTGTTGACATGCATCTGTTTCATCTTGTGCTGGTGCTGTTGCAATACTTCCGCCCAAGATCAGCTGGTTGACCAATATAGCTGGGACACGGGAGGGCTGGGGCTGCAAGGCTGTTGGCCGGAGCTAAAGTGGGACCGCTGCCGCAGCTTCACCTTCTCAGCTTCAGGCCGGACAAGTGATATACCGAGCCACTTTTATTCCTCTGCTCTACCTTTTGCTTGCGAGGAGTTGCAAGCTCCAGTCCCCAGCGGCCGCAGCTGCACTGGCACGGCGCATCTCAGTTTCTGAGAACCGGCATGCCCCACCCCGCACAATTGCGCCACTGCAGGGCGGTGAACCACTTCGGGAGCGTCAAGCACATCCGCATGCAGGCGTCATCTGCCACGGCTTGAGCATGCCAGCTCTTCTCTCGATCGGCTGCGAAGGCCAATCGCTGGCGCGTGGAGGCCCATCGTAGCTTCGCAGAACACCTGGCCGAGCCCAGTGCCAAGGCAGGAGAACTGCAGACCTGATGGGCTCCCGCCATGATACAAACGATACGAGTCACCAATTGCGCTGTGCCGTTTCTTGGAAAATCATTGATGATGATGATGGTCATGATCATGATCATGATGATGATCAGGACGAATTTGCTCCCAGGAATCTGAATTGCGCAAGATGAGTTCGACATTCCATTTGGGCAGAATAGGTCTTTTTTCGCG